CCAAAGCCCCAGTAGATAGGTGTATGTCATAGCTGCACATCCTTCTAGTTGCTGTATGTGGGACGCGGCCTCAGCATGGCCGGAGAAGTGGTGCGTCGGTGTGCGCCCTGGATCCGAACCCGCGCTGCCAGCAGTGGAGCGTGCGCACTTAACCGCTAAGCCACGGGGCCGGCCCTCTCCTCTTTCTTGACAAGGGCAAATCTCTAGGCATTTCCCAAGACTAACATTGAGCTTTTTCCTGCTTGGACATTTTTCCCAGGTAGGATGGAATGAAAATGACAGGATTGGTGCAATTGAAAGGCATGGGATTTGGGGTCACCCAGCCCTGCTGCATGTTAGCTGTGTGGCTCCGGGCAAGCTCTCTGTCTCTCGTAGGTCTCAGTTTCCTCATCGCCAGTGGGGTAACACACCTGTCTCTCATGGTGGTTGTGAGGATTCAGTGATTCACCTGTGCTGTGGCCCGGTGCAAGGAGGTGGGCACTAATCATTCATTTCCCACTCTGCCCACTTTTATCAGTGCTTTAATTTGGCCAGTTTTGCTTGACAAGGGCATCGGGCAACTTTCTGCAGAACTCATCTCCCCCTTTTCCCTCTCTAACTTTGTCTTCTCTTCTCCCAGGGGCCCAGATCATTGATCTGATGATGTTGGTCATCGATGTGACCAAGGGGATGCAGACGCAGTCAGCGGAGTGCCTTGTGATCGGGCAGATCGCCTGCCAGAAGCTGGTCGTGGTGCTGAACAAAACAGACCTCTTAGCCGAAGGGAAGAGGCAGGCAGCGATTGATAAAATGGCCAAGAAAATGCAGAAGACTCTAGAGAACACCAAGTAGGTTTGCTAGGGAGAGAAATGTTCATGTGTATATGTAGCAGGCTTCGGGGCACACTTCGTTTCACTACCATGAACTGGGCAGGCAGGTGTCAGCCTCGGGTCTTACTGAGGGGGTCTTACCTCGCGCCTGCTTGCATGAAGGGACAAGGCTAAGGTGCTGCTGCTGCAAGAGGCCAGAAAGTAACAGAAACCTAAAGAAACTAGAAGCTGAGTTTTCAGGTAGTTTCCTAACATGAGTAGTGGGGTGGTTCTGCTCTCCTGGCATTCAGAAACCCAGGTTGCCTCCCTCTTGCTGACCTTGCACTGTAGGGTGTCCTTGTCCGTGAGGTCAGAGCGGGGCACAGGCACTGCTGTGTTCATGTCCTGGGACGGTCCAGTGTGTCAGGCGTGGGCCTGGAAGGGCACACACCCTTCCCACTGAGATTCTGTCAATGTGACTCAGTCCTTCCTGCCATATTGGCCATGCCTCGGTACAAGAGAGGCCAGGACGTGTGTCCCCTCACCATCTGCTTAGCTGCAACTTGATTATCAAAAGGGGGAGATGAGTTTTCGTAGACAACTGGATGTTTCTGTCACAGAGGCTTATAAGGTGGGATGGATGGATAGATGGATGGACAGACAGACATTGCTGTTGGAGGGGAGATTGGGAAAGGCCAGATCAAAAAGGACCTTTGTAGCCTCTCATGCCGATGAGTTTACAATTTCATCTTGTGGAAAGTAGGGAGTCGTTACAGAATTTTGTGCAGGGGAGTGACTGAAAGAGGTTTTCCCATCTACAGATGGCTGGCTGCATCTGGTGGCAGGATGTGTTGGCGAGGAGGATCCGGGAGGCAGCAGGGAGGCAGGGAGACAGGGAGAGGTGGCTGTGGTGGTTTTCCCAGGGAGAGACTAAGGCAGTGGAGGGAGGGGAGGGGAGACCTGGGGAGATCTTCAACAGGAGAATCAACAGGCCATGTCGAGCCATGCTTACAATCTGTACATTCTGTGAGGAGAGGTCCATGGGGGCAGAAAGGTGGCAGTGCTACTGGGCATTGTGTGGGTGGGAGGGGCATGGGGACTATGGGATAGAAAGCCACCTGGTTGTTCAGGCGGCGGCGGGAGTGACTTATTCTGATGCGGTTGAGAAAATGAGAAAATGTCCTTGTTGAGCACACAGTGTTGGCAAACCTCATTGTTTTATCAATTCCTCTCTTCCTCTCTGGGCCAGCGCCTTTTTATCAATACTCAGTAGCAGTCACTGGGAGACAGCGCTGCTTCCTCTTTGCTTTGCAGCCCGAGACAATATGCTGCTACTTCCACCTCTCCTTCTCCCGCCTGTGGAGGGCAAGCAAGTAGAGTGTTTTTGTTTCCCTGTCATAAAGATTGATATGCTTTCCCATTTATGATTTTTTTCAGATCCAACACCTGCAGCTCTCCCTCAGAATTCTCAAGTTGGTTAAATTAAAGCTCTAGCCCTGCGAATGGGCCAAATATGTCATAAAAGATTTCCTAGTGCTGCCTTTTGTTAGCAAAATTCATCAATCCGATAAAATCGACACATTTAGATAAGTGTTGCGTAAGAATTCAGACTTTGTTATTCCCAACGGAAGTGGGTATGAGACTGTAAAAAGGAAGATAAAAAATTATATCTTCTTTTTAGTGAGTTATTTGATCTCCCTGCCATTTTATTTAGTTGTCAGAAAGGGGAGAACAGGTCCTTTGGACTCTTGCATGAAAACCCAGTACAATGTCAGTATCATTTGCTATATAAACGGGACCTTCTGGGAAGGGCTTAGGGTACTCTTAAGGGTATATTAACTATTTCTATTAGTTAAATTTAAGGAAAATTCTCACTTGCATGTTTAAATTACTATTCCTATTTTAATTTATTGGTTGAAGGTCAAATTACAGACTTTATCACACATCCAGAGGCCGTTGAAGCCTCTCCTCTCCTCCTTCCGTGCCTAGGGGGCTGGAAGAGAAACTCAGATAAAGGAAAGGATTGCTGCCCTGGTGGGTTGTAGTTAGTGGACCCAGTGGGCCTCAGCCAGGCTAAGTGGGATTACCTCTTAAGAGAATGTTAGCTTTTACCTCCATGCAGCAAAGAACTTCTTTAAATCATTTTAAGTGACTATTTCCTTTTCTTATGGTCCCTTGTTAAGTAAGTCCTTTGTAAATGCTGGTCCAAGTGTGAAGAAACTTTCTCTCTAGAAAGGAAAAATTTGGACTGGTGAACTATGTACATATCAAAACCTGAAAAGTATTAAAAACATAAAAGTTTTTTTTTCTATCCAAAGAATAATTGAAAGAAAATTTGGAAAATAGAGAAAAGTGATTAAAAGAAAGAAGAGACCACCCAAAGATTTCTTTTTTCAAAATAGCAGCTGTGCTGACATTTTGGTTTATTTCATTCCTGTCTTTTCGTCATGCATAGTATTGCCCTCCCTTTCCTCCCCGTTTTTAAAATTATAGTAAAATATATATAACATAATGTTTATTATTTTAATCATTTGTAAATGTACAATTCAGTGGCATTAAATACATTTACAAAGCTGTGTACCCAGTACCACTGTCTATACCTAAAACTTTTTCATCATCCCCAAGATAAACTCTGTACCCATTAAACAGTAACTCCCCTTGTCTCCCCTGGTCCCAGCCCCTGGCAACCTCTATTCTGCTTTCTGTCTCTATAAATTTGCCTATTTGAGATACCTTATATAAATGGAATCATACAATATTTGGTCTTCTGTGTCTGGCTTATTTCACTTAGCATAATGCTTTCAAGGTCCATCCATGTTGTAGCATGTGTCAGAATTTCACTGCTTTCTATAGGTGAATAGTATTCTATTGTGTGTATACCATATTTTATTTATCCATTCATCTGTTGATGGACACTTGGGTTGTTTCCTTTTGGTTATTGTGAATAATGCTGCTGTGAACATTGGTGTACAAATATCTATTCAAGTCCTTACTTTCAGTTCCTTTGGGTATATACCTAGGATTGGAATTGCTGGGTCATATGGTAGTTCTATGTTTAATTTTTTGAAGAGCCACCAAACTCTTTCCCACAGTGGAGGCACCGTTTTACATTCCTACCTGCAATGTGTTAGGGTTCCAGTTTCTCCACATCTTCTCCAACACTTATTTTCCTTTTTCTAGTAGTTATCCTAGTAGGAATGAAGTGGTATTTCATTGTGGGTTTTTTTTTTTTGTGAGGAAGATCAGCCCTGAGCTAACATGTGTCCTAACCCTCCTCTTTTTGCTGAAGAAGACCGGCTCTGAGCTAACATCTATTGCCAATCCTTCTCCTTTTTTTTTCCCCCAAAGCCCCAGTAGATAGTTGTATGTCATAGCTGCACATCCTTCTAGTTGCTGTATGTGGGACGCGGCCTCAGCATGGCCGGAGAAGTGGTGGGTGGGTGCACACTCAGGATCCGAACCCAGGCCGCCAGTAGCGGAGCGCGCGCACTTAACCACTAAGCCACGGGCCGGCCCTCATTGTGGTTTTGCCTTACATTTCCATAATGACTAATGGTGTTGAGTATCTTTTCATATGCTTATTGGCCATTTGTATATCTTCTTTAGAGAAATGTCTCTTCAAGTCCTTTGCCCAATCCGGTTGTTTTTGTTGTTGTTGTTGAGTTGTACAAGTTCTTTATATATTCTGGACATTAATCCATTGTCAGATACATGATTTGCAAATGTTTTCTTCCATTCTGTAGGTTGTGTTTTCACTTTCTTGATCATATCCCTTGATGCACGAAAGTTTTCAATTTTGATGAAATCCAATTTATTTATTTTTTTCTTTTGTTACCTGTGCTTTTGGTATCATGTCCATAAAATTGTTGCCAAATCCAATGTCATGAAGATTTTCCCCAGTTTTTTCCCTAATAATTTTGTAGTTTTAGCTCTTAAGTTTAGGTCTTTGATCCATTTTTACTTAATTTTTATATATGGTATAAGTTAGGGCCCAACCTCATTCTTTTGCATGTGATTATCCAGTTTTCCCAGCACCATTTCTTGAAAAGACTGTCTTTTTCCCTTTTACTCTTGTTAAAAGTCAATTGACCATGTACGTGTGGGTTTATTTCTGGGTTTTCTATTCTGTTGCATTGCTCTCTGTGTCTGTGCCTATACCAGTACCACACTGCTTTGTTTACTGTACCTTTGTAGTAAGTTTCAAAGTCAGGAAGTTGAGTCCTCCAACTTGAAGCTTCTTCTTCAAGGTTATTTTGGCTATTTGGGGCCCCTTGCAATTCCATATGAATTTGAGGATCTGCTTTTCCATTTCTGCAAAAAATGGTTGTTGGAATTTTGATAGGGATTGCATTTAACCTGTAAATTGCTTTGGGTAGTATGGACATGTTAAAAGTATTAAGTTTTACAGTCCATGAACATAGATTACTTTCCATTTATTTAGATATTCTTTAATTTGTTGTATCAGTGTTTTGTAGTTTTCAGTAAACAAGTCTTTCACCTCCCTGGTTAGATTTATTTCTAAGTATTTAATTCTTTTAGATGTTATTATAAATGGAATTCCTTTCTTAATTTCCTTTTCAGATTGTTTTTGCAGGTGTGTAGAAACACAACTGATATTTATATGTTGATTTTGTACCCTGCAACTTTGCTGAATTCAATTCTCCCCCAAACATATAATGGTAATCATGAGGTATTTGCATTATTGGTTTCTGCTTTTATTGCTTAACCTTTTACATAGCAGTTCTTCATGTAACCATCACTCCGTTGTTGACCTTGAGACTGGCTTAAGTTGTGCTCCTTATAGATAGATAACCCTGCGGTGGACGTCCTTGACCATCATTACACTTGGTAGTTTCAGCTTCTTCCTCATGAGAGGTTCCCAGGTGTGAGATTACTGGATCAGGGGGCATGAACACTTTTAAACCTTTTGTTGCACATTACCATATTCTTTTCCAAAGAGTTTGTACCATTTTACACAGGTGTCAGCAGCTGACTTTGGTTTCTAATTTTAAAATATATTTGAAATTTAGTAGAATAGG